TTGTCGCCAAGAATTTCTGCAGAAGTTTCTTCTTGAACTTTGGTTCTTCTCGGCTCAGAATTCTCGCTTTAGATGGTGTAGGAAAGCCTTTCGCTTCAAAGAAATGATTGAGCCAAGGGACCAAAATCCTCATGTATATATAGATGTTCTCCCATCAAGAACATTTATCATCACCAACTCATAACGTTCAAGAATTAATTCAAATTTGTAACGTTTGGACCATAATGAAGAACTTAATGATATTAAATATTTAATTTAATAATAACGATTTCATGCATAAAGAATAAGAAACTGAAATCATTTAAACCATAATAAATGAAGAAATTCATGATAATGAATTATGAATCTTAATAAGAACGGTTACGTTATTATTAAATAAAATATTTAATAATAACCGTTACAGTTTCATGTCATAGGAGAAGTCATCAGGAACACATCCATTACCAGTACAATGAATACTTGGAAAGACTTGGAGAATGCCACACCATTGAAACTTGTTTCATGTCATAGGAGAAGTCGTCAGGAGCACATCCATTATCAGTACAATGAGAAATCCTACTCTTTTGGTGTTTCAATTCTAAGCATTTTACAAAAGCAATGGTGGAGGTGGGATTGGATGGTACACATCTGAATGAATCTGTTGTGTTCTATTTGCATTTAGACTTGGGAAATTTGGAATATATTCTCTATTTATCATAATTTATGATGAGATTGAGGTTATTGTAATTATTTTTTGTTGACAGTCTGTATAATATATAATTTATTGACATAAAATATTAATTAATTGCCGATAATATACTGATAAATATAATATTATCATCCATGTCTGGTTTAAACCCCCTTTTTTTTTTTTATGAAGGGGGAGGTGGAGGATGATGATACAATTCAGGAACATTATCAACCAATACAATAATTGATAGATTGGGTGGATCATGAAGGTCGTCGTCACCACACAGCCTTCCTTTCTAAAGATTATCTTGCACGAGTCCTTGTCAATGGATGATCCCTACTAATTCAATCTGCCTCCTTTATGCACGCTTGAATCTTTAGATGATTACAGAAAACTCATGAATACTGCCAAAGATACAGCAGTCCTCAGTCACCACAACAACATGTTGATCATTAATCTATCTGCATTGATTTAGTAACCTCGCCAGGTAAAGACGAAAATAAAAACAGCATAAATTGACCGGATTTATAACAACATGATACTATCAAGTTATAATCAACAATTTACTCCTTCCATGTTATTTAACACTGTGTAGTCATCTGAACAACGACTGCAGTTGCAACTTACAGTTGTATGTATCATTTTGGAAAATTTGCAGATACAGCTGCATTAAATGGTGAATTTGATTTGTGTCTGAAGAAAAACATGTTGGATGATGCAGAAAGACACAAGTGGCACAAGGAAAAGGAAATCTCCCTCTACTGTAAACAACCAAGCACCAAAATCTTCCTCCTCTCGGCATCTGCATCTTTCTTGTTCAATATTTTTTTGTCCATGACATGTCCTCTCTGGATTCTCTGTCAGAACTCGACAGAGATGAGATTTCCTTTTCCTTTTGTCCATGACAGTTCAGAACGTTCCATGTTTCATGAGCCTTGGATTCTTAGCTGAAGCTATCTGCTTGCCAGCACGATGCAAATGTCCACTATTTGATCAGAAGGATCATGGAAAATTTCAAGCTCAGATGCATCAAGATTCACTTCTCTGATAGAATTCATAATTCTTGTGGAGAACTACCGTAACATGATGTTAAAAGATAGCATCACTTTCATCGGCTTCATTAGCTTTTTGTGACCAAGAAGTTCAAGTCCATGAATGGCATTCAAAAGAATTAAATGAAGAAAGATGTACTCACTCATCAGCTTCAAAGATGAAAAGCTCGCAGCGTACTTACAAGTAGGAAGATGCGATGTTTCGTATGTCCGAAGGCATAAAAGCCAGGATCAAAAGCACAACGAGAAGGCCAATGGGTAGAAGAAGCAACATGGAAGGCGGAGGTGGCAATGGAGGCAGTATGAGTGGAAGTACCAGCAGTGATGCAGTGACAAAGGCAAGTAGCAGAAACGATTCAATGCTGAAATAGGTTGATGGAGAAGTTCTGCGATCGGGCTCATGATGCATCATTGGGGTTCTCTTATACTCCATGCTTGAGCCACTTGCAAATGTGTTCCTCCTCATTCTGGCATCCATGAATCCAACCCAGTGAGCTTGTACCTCAATCTGATCGTTTGGTGTCCTTGACTGATAGCTCAACAACTCAAAATACATTTGGAAGTGCGATTTCAAGTTCCATCCGATGAGTTGCCCACAGCTCAAATCTGCTCTAAGATCAGTAGATGCTTTCACTAAATGCCTTCTCGTCAAAATCTGAGATCAATGTCCACTTGGCACAGTCTTCCCTTTTCAGGATCCTTCTCTCGGTTCAGTAGATGCTTTCACTAAATGCCTTCTTGCCAGGATCTGAGATCTAACAGTCACTTAGAACAGCATTCCTGTTCAGAATCCTTCTCTCAGATCTGTGAAGTGAACTGCTTCTGCTGAAAGATGACACCAATGCCTTGCTTGGATTTGGATTGTGCCAAGCTCACACCAAGCACAAGCTATGGAAAAGACCAACAAGTATGACAAGTTGCCTGAGGACATTGATCATCACAGTGAGGTTAGTTTTCTGGATATGATACTTGATCCAAAACTTGATTAAATCTTCAAGAAAATAAGATCATGCCCAAACTACCAGATGGAAGTCATTGAACTATGAGTTCACCTCAAAAAAATAAATTCATCATGCAATCATAAAAGAAGTTTGGAGCAAGTTCATTGACTCCATCTTCAGCATTGCATTGATTTTCGCTTCCTCTCTTGTTTTCCAACTTTTAAAGGGTCTACACTATGAAAAGTAAAACAACTTCCCTCAAACAGATAAATGTATATATATAAATATATATATATATATATAAGAAAAAATTTAAGAGTTCTAATATGAAGCTATGAAGAAAAAATATGTTGGTTCTGCAGATAGTTTTTTATGCTCAAGAACAAGTAGGAATCTGTGATAAAGATTGCAAGCAATACCTTTGTTGTAATCTCTTCCCACGCTTAAAAATCGGTTTGCTCCATGTCACCCTATCCCTCCGAGAGTGGATTTTCTCTTTAAATCTGCATCAAAAACGCCGAAAGGAGAATGACAAGCGCATGTGTTCTCTTGTCTCTTTTCCTAAGATTTCGAGACAGAAACACAAGGAGAGCAAAGAGAAAGCACAAAAGGCCAGCCAAGAAAGGAAGAGATGTGGTGATTGGAGATTTGCTTCAAAGGAAACACATGTAGTGCTGATCCTCTTGGCAGGTTCTGCTGCTGCATTTTCTATGTGTGTGTTGGGTGGGAGGTTGGAAGTCTGATGTCCGTCACACTGTATCTGTGGGTGCAGATACACTGTATTCCATCTGTTCAACATGCACCTTCCGTGCAGGGTGCGGTGGTGGTGGGGTGCATCAAGGTTTCTTTTACTTTTCCTTTGTGGAAAACTAAGCTGGTTTGATGTTTAAGGTTCCTCTCCCCTGGCCATCTGCTACTGCCTCCGCCTTCCCCTGTCCCTTTCTTGGTCCTACCACCATTCAAAAATGGCTTCCTTACCTTGGCCTCGGCCTTTGATGGCATGGACTACAGCTCTCAAGAAAGAGTTAAATGCAAGGTACAAAACTCCTGTGCATGCAACTGCAAGCTTGTCTCAGAAACATGGTCTGCTGGTGGATCAAGAAAAATACTGCAGCAATACTTGCGTTGATGTCTACTTGCTTACCTTCATGGCCTTATCTGTGATTACAATAGGTTTTGATGGATCACAGTCACACAGTCTTCAAATCCCCCTCTGTTGATCTTTTCTTCCAAAGTGAATGAATGTTTGAGTTGGCTTGAACTGATGACAAGTCTTGACCTGCACAGTTGCAAGGAAATAGGTCAGGTTCAAAGTGAAGAGGGTGGGCTGAACAAAGAGCAAGGAATAGTCATGAGAGAAGATATCATCATCATCATCATCATCATAATCGTAGTGTTTTCCTATAAATGCAGGGTTGAATATAAATCACAATCAGGAAAACATGAAAGATTTAGATTAATATGTGACAGGTTTTTCTGGTCAACTATTAAGACAATTCTCATAGATTTCTCAAACAATAATGGTGAAGAAACATAAGTTTTATTGCAGAGAAATGTTACACTCACAATCACAAAAAATAAAATAAAAAAAGAAAGTATATCTGCAGCAAAAGTTACTGCATTGCTCTCCATCACCTTTGCTTCTCTCTAGGCCTTGGCAATGTGTTTTGAAGACACAGGATGAGTGAGGAATGTGGGGTAGTTGAGCTGGAAAGGTGCAAGCCAAGTTGCAGCTTGGATTCCTTCATCTCATGGATTTCTCTGCAGCTACATCTCGATTTGCTTGACACTACAATTCCAACGCAGTCATATGTATAAACTAGGAGGTAGAACATTGCTCCCAGACTAAACAACAATAAACTAAGAGCAAGTATGGCCAAGTTGACACCGCCCTGCATACATACTTGCCTTGTCTTGTTGTTGCTGTTGCGAAATTGATTCCATTCCTCGAGAAGAGATTATAAACTCTTGCCTTCTCCAAGAAAGAAACTCCCATCTTTCTATTTCTATACGTGGCAGTTGGCGGTCAGGCAAATACACATACAGTTTGTCGGCATGTATAGAATTTCCAATGAAGTCAATGCTGAGCCTTGTGATTGTCAACTCGAGACGGAATCCTATCGAACACATGCATCATGATCATTCCAAGCACTTTCTTGCCTTTCTCTGGCAAATCGTCGAACACTCTTGTGGTTGCAGAAACTTTAAATTTTAAGAAGGAAAGCACATACATACATCCTAAGAAAAACCAGAAAGAAAGAAAAAAAAATAAAGGCTTTTTTTTATTGCCCAAGAAATCATCAATCGGTTAGTTCAAATTAGCATGCACTTAATAGTTTTTAAGACATTGATAGGGCATATTTTGGCTCTTATGTGAACCATCGACAAAAGTTGCAGACCGACGTAATACCGTACGCCTCCAGAACCGCGGGGTGCATGTCACGTCAAGCTCCAACGGTGCGATTATGCGGCCTGACCACCCCAAGAGCTAGGGGTGGTGCCGTCTGACACCGCTCAAGCACCCTCGAAGACGCCACCTCGTCAGAGAGGTTGTTCCACCCCCAGAGTCAACGGGCATGCCGGACCACAGGGACCGACCAATTCCCGCACGCGAGTATAAATACCCGCGACCTAATCCAAGAAAAAGGGGGAGGGGGAAAAATCAATCGATCACTCCATTGACTTGCTCGTCGGAGGGGCCTCATCGGATGATCCCGATGAGGGTCATTTTTGTAGGAAATATATGGTCATCTCACGAAGACGAGCTGCCAACCACCCCGGAGAAAGAGAGACATAGCACGGCATACATAGCACCCGGATCAGCATACCAAGGAGCGCTGATCTGCGCCCCGTCATGAGGGCCCGATTCATCTGGCAAAAGACTCCCGACATTGACTCATGGACCAGGTCGTGCTGATTCATCAACCACAGCACCTTTGTTCACTAACATTTTGGCGCTAGAAGGAGGGTCATGTCGTAGGAGCATCTGACAGGAATTATCCCCGAGGGAGAACCACCGACCGGCCTCCCTTCGTCGAACCCGAAAGTAACGACTGACTCATCAGTAGCATCCAGACTCATCGTCGGGTCAACCAGCTTAGGGGCGTCTCTGTATTGAAGCTCTTGCCCAAGCCTCTCCAGATCGGTTCCTGACCTGCGTCTCTCTGACCTAGCTCCTACCTGAGCCTCTCCAGATCGGTTCCCGACCTACAGCTCGCCGGCCCTGCTTTTGCCCGAGCCTCTCCAGATTGGTTCCCGACCTGCGCCTCACTGGCCCAGCTCCTGTCCGAGCCTCTCTAGATCGATTCTCGACCTACGGCTCGTCGTCCTAGCTCTTGACCGAGCCTCTCCAGATTGGTTCCCGACCTGCGCCTCGCCGGCCCAGCTCTTGCCCGAGCCTCTCCAGATCGGTTCTCAACCTGCACCTCGTCGACCCAGCTCCTGCCCGAGCCTCTCCAGATTGGTTCCCGGCCTGCACCTCGCCGGCCCAACTCCTGCCCGAGCCTCTCCAGATCGGTTCTCAACCTGCACCTCGTCGACCCAGCTCCTGCCCGAGCCTCTCCAGATTGGTTCTCGGCCTGCACCTCGCCGGCCCAACTCCTGCCCGAGCCTCTCCATATCGGTTCCCGACTTACGGCTCATCGACCCATCTTTTGCCCGAGCCTCTCCAGATCGGTTCCCGACCTACGCCTTGCTGTCCTAGCTCCTGCCTGAGCCTCTCCAGATCAGTTCTCGACCTACGGCTCGCCGGCCCAACTCTTGCCTGAGCATCTCCAGATCGCTCCCGACTAACGACCCGTGAGCACCCCAAGCTCGATTCTTGCTCGGGTCGTTCCAGATCGCTCCCGACGGGCGATCCGTCAACACTTAATTCGGAGTCGAGCTCACAACTCGGTCCCCTAATTCAATTCGGAGCCTCACAACTCGGTCCCTAGATTCTATTCGGAGCCGAGCTCACAACTCGGTCCCTAGACTCAATTCGGAGCCAAGCTTACAAACTCGGTCCCCAGACTCAATTCGGAACCGAGCTCATAAACTCAGCCCTCAGACTCGAATCAGAACCGAACTTATTTGGTCCCCAGGTCTGATTCAGAGCCGAATATACCCATTTGGCCCCCAGATCTAGCTCTCGTCCGAGCCACGCCTCGCGGCCAATCTAATGCTCGAGCCACGCCTCGCGGCCAATCTAATGCCTGAGTCACATCTCGACCTGATCCAATGCCCGAGCCACGCCTCGCGGCCAATCTAATGCCCGAGTCAC